TGGGGGTTACAAATAACCGAGTTATTAAATAACGTATGTGTACTGGTGCAATATCGTTCACACACTCTGGTATATTGTTTGCGTCATCCGGAGGGCTTGGTTTGCGTAATCCAATCTTATTCTGACACTAGAAATGACGTCATAGCTGAAGACGTCATTCAACGGAAGTCAAAAAACAAAACAACAAACCAATACACCAACAAATTACAATGTTTTAGATTTATTTAAGAAAAGACAAACACCTATGAAAATGTACGAATTTACCTGTTTCTAAATGCAGCTAAAACAATTGGGTTTTACAAGTCTTCCCATAAATGTAATCACTAATGTGTAGGTATTAAACTTTACCATTGAGTGCATGTATCTCTTACAAGTTCTTCCATGTCAAAATGTAATGTTCACGGGCCCCGCATTTGTCCAAATGCCCCATTTTTGTCCCTACTCTTCAGTATGCGCTAGAAAGCTAGCACAGCATGCGTTTCATTGACTTGGAAATATTCGGAGACACTCGCTAGCGCATCGGCACCCAACGGCTTATTGAACGCACCTACGGTCTAACTTCACTAGCTTTAAAACAGGTAGTAGGGGGAAATGGTGCACATGTGTTCAAGGTTATTGCACTGCGACATGTGTGATGTGTGTGTGCCATTCTATAGTACTAACTCACTGAGATACCTCACTCACACACAGTATACTGACTGACACAGTATACTAAACAATCCTTGATTACCCCACTAATGCCGAGCTACAGGAAAGGTTACAAGAACAATCTTTTCACTTCTGGTATGTCACGACCAGGAATCGAACCACTGACCTTCCTCTCTCTCCAGGCAGACACTCTATCCACGGTCAGCTTTGAACAGGAAAATCCAAGGCATCTGGAGCAAAGTTGTATTTTCTTCCAGTTTAATGCCATCACTTGAGCCTTGGTACTTGCATGTTGTTTGAGGTTGTAGTACGTATGCCTTTGCTTGAACCAAAGGTAATGGCATCAGGTTGAATATGCATGATGGTGTTCATAATTTCTGAGGCCTTGAGGAAAATGCGCTGAAGGGGCTGCTTCTGTTTTTGCAAGATGTTGCAAATGCTTTCTCGAATAAGTCTGACATAATAGTTTTTAGAAACGGTGGTTACTTACGCAGTGTAGAAAGTGGCTGTATTCAGGAGTTGAAATGCAAACTGTAACCTATCATAAATATCTAGGTATTATTTTCTCAGAGATTAGTGTGGTCAAGCGCTTGTGAAACCCTATCTATTCAACCCAGAAAGGCTAGCATGCCAGATCGCGTGGTCAGAAAGGCGAAAACAAAAAGTTTTAGAAAATAATGAAAGAAATATGCAGTGCAATCCAAAAATACCATGTACAGGATATATTTTAATGATAATATTCACGAAAAAAAAATCTTTTCTAAAAATGCAAATAATTGTATTAATTTATCCCAAGGTTGTAACCCTGATTACGTGGTGGGTATTTGGAAGGAACGACGCCGAGAATGAGGCCGTGTGTATTACATTGTTGAATTAAACTGCCAAGGAAGATTGTTGAGGCATTGACATTACGACAGATGTTCGTCATGGATGGAAAGAAAAATGTTCATGAGAGAAACATTGTTGCTTTGAGCTGCGAGACAAAACACGTGTTAATGCCGAAGTAGCCAGCGACCTGAATGTAAGCTTGATGAATATAATGTTGAAACCCATTTTCACGCACATGACAGAATTAATGTGAACAAATATTTATCTGAACATCGTTTCGAAGTCTGTGAGGCTGTCCGTATTTTAATATTTTTATCATCATTCCGACGTGAAATAATATAATATCTTCATGTCTCAATTTTGCTAAAAGCAGAGTCCATTGTACGATTCCCACTATATTATAGGAATGTGTTTATGAATCACTAATAGATATGATACCAGGTGTTCGCGAAATAAGCGTAATCCTACCCTCACGATGGCACCCGTCACAAACACACACAAACATGATAATGAAAGGCAGATACTTAAAATAATTTAACATCACTACTCCCAGGAAAAGTACACTAGAATTCACTCTGTATGAAAACACTTCATCGAATACGGAAATAGTTCGTGAATTATGGACTTCATTTTTATTATCCACGTATTATACATATATACTACTCAAAAGAAGTTAAGGAACCCACAATTCTTACATGTGACTATCGAGTTAATCTGTCATGGCATGAGAGATTAGCTGTAGCCATTTGAAAGAATCGGATGTTCCTTAACCTTTTTTGAGTAGTATATAATGATCATACTCTTTCTCGGAAGCATTGGTTGCTGGGGACCTTTTCTAACCCGGAATCCCCAACGGTTTCAGTCTAGCAAAGACATCTGACCGGTAAATATCTGCAAGGTTCAGAGAGTGACTGACTAGGTGTTAGCCTGCCTCACCAAGCTAAACCAGCAATGAAGATCATGGGCAACAGTCTACATCAATAGTGCATTGACTACACAAGAAGCACAGGATACTGCTTACCTATAATACTTGTTAGCAAAGCATTATGTCTTAAGTCCCTCTTAAGTGGACAGTGAGAGAGACATTGTGAGACATTACATACAAATAAACACGAAACTTTTGAAACATGTAATATGTTGTAACAATTAGTCAAAGAGCCACACCAAATGACAGGGAATTATCCCAACACAACTGTAAGCTTCACCTTAAGCTGTGTGATGACTTCTCTGGTCTCTCTCAGGGCCCCCACAAGCTGACTGTTGGACTTGACCAGCTCCTCATTGCGGGCAAGCACAATCTTGACCAAGGACTCTTGGGAGTAGGCCAGGGAACGGATTTTGGCATCCATGTGCTCTGGGCTTGGTCTGATGTGACGGCGAGCCTGTCCAAGAGTATGAAACATTGTACGTTGTTAACTCACCAACTGAATTCTTAGGATTTTAGGATTCCAAGGTAGTCAAACATGACCGCTATGGAGGAGGCTCAATCATAATTTGGGATAGGATCAGTAGAGGTGGAAGAACCGATCTCCATGTCCTACAGCAGAGCACAATGACAGGTGTGCGCTTCAGGGATGATATTTTGGATGTGTAAGTGAGAGTGTATGCTGGAGCAATCGGACTGGACTTCCTCCTCATGGACGTCAGTGCATGATCTCATCGTGCCAGTGTCGTTAATGCCATCTTAGAGCAGCAAACCATTTTGACAAGTGATCTGACTGACTGCAATACTGTACGACACATAAAAAAACGTCAATAGCTTACCTTCCACTCATCATTCTCAAAATAGGTCGACGTAGCTCTCTTCTCAAACATGATGCTTTCTTCCTCAGAATCATCATCTTCTTCTTCTTTCTCCTCTGTCACAGGGACGTCCTGGCTTTTGGACACAATTGCCGAGTTGTTGGTATTCTTGGCTTGGGATACTAGCAGTACATCAGTTCCTCTTTTAGACAATTCTTCAGGTGACAGATAAACTGTTTTAATCAAGGCTGCAGCAAAATGGTCACAGTGAGTTTGGTTTATTAAGAATCTTAGAATATCAAATGACACAAATTCACTGTATGTATTAATCTTTGGTTGAACAAGAATAACACCATTCTATACGACTGAGAAAATGTTAAACAGCTATGAAAAATGATCATCCAGAAGGTTTAGATTTAATTACTTTGGTTCAGTGGGTAAGAGGTAGCACCCTAACACAAAGTCTTACCAGATTCCGTTGCCTTGACCAGCTCCTGAACCTCCTCAAACTTCTTCTTGAACTGTCTGGCCAGCTCCTCTGTCTGAAACACAAGACTCACTCACATGAGATGACGACATACACAGTCAATCCTAAACAAGAGCTAGGAGATGACATATCTTCTCCATTCTGGTGCAATTCAGAAATGGAGTTTGGCTACTTATACCCCACTTTTGGTACATTGCCATTGGTTACCTTCAGTTCTGTGAAGAAAAAACCCATTGTTGTTCTGTATTTTTCAGTATCCCAAATTATCAAAAAGGCACCAGTTCACAACTATACTGGTCTGTAAAGCACGTTTCATCTGGAAATATCCAACGGTTTTGGAGTTCTGCACCGGAAATGAGCACTACTCTCGTGAGTAGTGTCGTGAAAAAAAAATAAGCTCCCAAATCATCAAACAGCAGCAGTACACCACTAGACTGACCTGCATAGCAAGTTTCGACAAGAAATATTCAACACTTTAGGAATTCAGCTCAAGAAACGGAAAACAGATGGATGACAGACGGACAGACATGTTGATCGTTATATCCCCTAGTTTTTTTCATAACGGGAGATGGAAAACAATGGATGTACAAGAAATAATTGTCTATAGGGCTTTTCAAACAAACCCATCATAGTATATTCTAGCGGGAGCCCAGGACGTTTGTCACATTACTTCAAAACGTGCATTACTTTCCGGAAGAGCCAAACAATCTTATCCAATTTGTGCAGCATACAAATTAATTTTGTTGGTAAATCCTGAGGATAGATCATCCCTCCACCCCCAAAAGCTTAAATTCTTTCTTAACTGAAATATAGATGCAAACTGACGTCTCAAAAAGTAATGCTGCCCAAGACATGTCTGTTATTTCAGTGGTGACTGACCTTGAACCTGAGGGCAAACTGTTCAACCTTGGCCTCGTTCTCAGCATAGTCTTGAGCAGTCCAGCAGCAGGCTCTCTCTGACGTTGCCATGGGAGACAGGGTCATATTGCCAGCTATCAGATGATTACATGCTACTTTGTGTACTTGATCTCGCCTCATCAGCAATCGGTATTTATCTACAAGGACAGAAAACAAAATGGAAAACATATATAAAAGTTTTATCATTTTATTGATCTAACAACATTGTTGAGACAGAAGAACTGAACAACACATTTTCAAAGAGTCTACTGTTGTTTAATATTACAGTACTAGTTTCAGTGGAACAGTAGACTAGACTTTGAACCCTGCCCTCATCAAGCTTATGCCAAGCATGTTTATCATATCAAAAGGTTCTCTGTTGGTTGTTTTAAACAATATGATGGTGGCCTGTAAGAGTCTAGTCTAGATGAAATATGCCAATACCCGAGATGCCAGACTCAGTATCTTGTTTGAGGATCTTCATGTCTCCCACAGCTCTCTCCTTCCACTGGTTGGAATCCCGCACAAATGGGAACAGCTTCGATCTCTGGCAGTACACCACCTCCCAACCTTCTTCCCCTGCAAGGACATTTACATCTATATCACATATGCAGACAAGCTATGCCAAAAACATAACTCACACAAAAAAGACATTATATGAACAGGAAAGTACAATTTGGCCTTGAACTCACCGGTTTTGACTTCAACTAGTTCTGGAAGGTCAATGATGGGCTTAAAGTCAATGTCATCACTCTGCACAACCTCATCATCATCAACATTGGTCCTGTTGCCTCCTGGGGAAGTCCCAAAGATCTGCTGACCTGCTCCTGACCACTGGAATGGTCGGTTCTCATCTGCCAGAGAAAACATAGAATGTCAGGCCAAGCGCTATGCTCAATAACCTGGGAAGGGACTTCGCTAAGATTCCAAACAAAGGGCATCTGGCAAGCAAAATGGAGAAAGAACTTATTTTGTTCAAAATTGTGATATTGTTTTTAAAGTACCATTCTTCTTCAATTTAGAGTTTTTTTAACATTGTATATCAACATTGCATTTAATACTGTGAACCAAGCATTAAGCCTCTTCCTCGTTATTGATCCTGCTATGAGTGAAATACATTTGACCAAGTGATCACATTAGAATCTAGATGTAACTATATATTGACATCAATTAAGAGCATCCTAATTCCAATTTGGGAAATTTAGACATTTGCTTCAGATGTAGGGCAGAATAATGCTGGGAATTACATTTGTGGTTGAACAGGCTGCAAACAATTCTAGGACTGATGATGGTAACTGTCTACTTGCCTTTCTTGAAAGCATAACCAACTGCATCTCCCTGTGCAGCTAGTGTAGAAAAGGACATGCCTGAAGCCTGACCGATCATGCAGAACCCTTCACTGGCACCAGTACTGCCTGCAACACCTGATGGTCAATAAGTCATTAATGCAAACATCATTGCCTTTGGTGTTTGGACCATGACAATCCAGTGATTGATTTTGTGAGCAACAATCAATGCAGTTAACACCAAGTCAAAGAATATGACCACCCAATCCGTTAAGTTGCCTCTTATGACCAGCATAGATTGCTGGGGAATTCCAATCCAGTAGTCACCACAGGGATATTTGTGAATTAAAGGAACATAAAATAGGAGCATGTAACAGAAGCTCTTCCCTGTCACCATCCAATTACTCTCATTACTTACTGCCCCCCAAATCCTATCTTGTATCAGTTTCACAATGGTTGGCTATTCAGTGTTAGAATTAAACGGGGACCCTGGGGTCTCTATTTAGTTTTGTATTAACATGATGGTTATGATAAGGACCCACTGACTTGCATGCTTAATTCTGACACTTATATTGATACCTCAACAAAGCTCCAGACGACTATCAAGACTGATTACTTCATGGAAGTGTAAATACTATAAACCAAAATCACTTACTACCAGCACTGCTTGAAACTTGAACTGAAGCTATTGTTGGTGCAGGACTTGTCTCCTCAGATTTTGCTGTAATGATAAACGAACCTAAAAAAACTTTGGAATAAAGAAATTACATTGACCAATGTGAGATTTCAGAAAAAAAGAAGCTAGCCATTACAATTATTTTATATTCTTGTTAGAGAACCATAGTTTCGTCCTTTTAGACATAACCTCATGAAGATTGTTAATAATACTCACATTTGGCTCTGACCTTGCTGGGCATGCTGACTTTACTGGGGTCATAGTCCTCACAGCCAATACAGCCTGGACAAGGGGGTTTGTTTTCATAGAGGTAGAAGGACTCGGGCAACAGGTACTTCCTGGCTCTGGCCTTCTGTTCCTCTGTAGCCTCCTCCACATACAGGAAGTCCACACCTGAAGTGTCTAAGGGACACAGAACCAAGCGTCAGAAACAAGGAAGTAGAGCGGGCATCTCATGGGTAAAGTGCCTTTTAGAAATCAGTGGGTGAAATCAGTTTTTCAGAACTGTAGGGTCAAAAATGAAAACTGGTGGGGGTTTTCTTTTTCACAAAGGGTCCAAAGGTTACTTCTCCTATATAAACGTACCTTGAAGTCTATTTCATGACTAAATTAGTTGGAAGTTGCTGTTTTTTTCTGAATGTAACATTAACCAAAATAAAATAGCAACAATCCGTAAATACTTGGGAAAATTCATAATCCAATAAACAACCTCACACAGTGCCACTCCTGGAGGGGCATATCTTAGAAAAGTAAAATGTGGAGGCAGGTGCCACAACTTCGAAACATCACATTTAATATGTAGTATAGGTGTGAGCACCAGACCTACTGGCCTGGTTCCCACAGTGGGAACCACTACACCAACACCCGAGTAGTTTTCTACATGCAGCCGGCAAACTGCACAGGGCGAGTGTATAGCACCAGTAATTATCAGATTCTAATCCTGTTGAGAAAAGATGCAAAAGTCCAAAAGCATAAATTATCATGCTTTGCTACATACACTGATCCAGCATTAAAAACACGATTCCAATAATCCCCATAATATATTTCCATATTTCATAAAGAGGGCTAGGTTTGTGCTCAAAAGTTGATATTGTTGTAATAACAACATTGTGTTTTTAATGCTGGCTATACACTTATATTGATACCTCAACAAAGTTCCAGACGACTATCAAGACTGATTACTTCCTGGAAGTGTAAATAATATAAACCAAAACCACTTACTACCAGCACTGCTTGAAACTTGAACTGAAGCTATTGTTGGTGCAGGACTTGTCTCCTCAGATTTTGCTGTAATGATAAACGAACCTAAATAAACTTTGGAATAAAGAAATTAAATTGACCAATGTGAGATTTCAGAAAAAAAGGATGCTAGCCATTACACTTATTTTATATTCTTGTTAGAGAACCATAGTTTCGTCCTTTTAGACATAACCTCATGAAGACTGTTAATAAAACTCACATTTGGCTTTGACCTTGCTGGGCACGCTGACTTTACTGGGGTCATAGTCCTCACAGCCAATACAGCCTGGACAAGGGGGTTTGTTTTCATAGAGGTAGAAGGACTCGGGCAACAGGTACTTCCTGGCTCTGGCCTTCTGTTCCTCTGTAGCCTCCTCCACATACAGGAAGTCCACACCTGAAGTGTCTAAGGGACACAGAACCAAGCGTCAGAAACAAGAGTCATAGGGCTCACAGCCACTTCGCACTTCTACAAGATCTACTGTCAAACTTCACTACTTCACTACCGGTTGTAATGTGTTCCAATATAACAAATATTACTAGAAACTAACATATCTTTCAATTTTGGAAATTCAAGTTATTTCCAAGTAGCCCCGAGTCTAATGTACTTGCAAACACATATGGTTTATGTTGTGGGTTAAGGTCAAGCGTAGACAATTAAGTTTATATAATCAGTTTTAGGCCATTGACACCTACTTTAAGTCACAAACTTGTTAAGCACTTGCGTTTTCATGGTCCTTATATCAGTTATGACCTGCTGCCTTTTCGTAAAACCCAACAAACTGACTCACTCCTTCTGCAGATCATCAGCCTGTATGCAAATATCATAAACTTTATCGGGGTGGTCGGGTAGCCTAGTAGTTAAAGCGTTCGCTTGTCACGCCGAAGACCCGGGTTCGATTCCCGACATGGGTACATTGTGTGAAGCCCATTTCTGGTGTCCCCGCCGTGATATTGCTGGAATATTGCTAAAAGCGGCGTAAAATCATACTCACTCACTCACTCACTCATAAACTTTATCATTAATAAATTAAGTTTCTTTATGACATACATGAATGTCAGCAATGGTGTTGTTTGAAGCCATCATACACTTGAAGTTTCTTTACCTTCTCAGATCCAGTGAGGATGAGACGAACATAAAACCTCTCGCCACAACCGAGTTCTGACAAGACCAAATCTACAAAGTCTGCTGCAACCACGTCATCACCCATGAGCTGGAACTCAAGCCCGGGTGATGGGAAGTCGTGGGTTTGGTATGCTAAGGACTTCTCAGAAGAGGAGGGCAAGGTGGAACAACTGGCTGTCAGGTTTAAGAACAAGGAGATAACTGACAAGTTCAAAAAGAGTTTGATGCTGTCAAGGCTGATGGAGAAAAGTTTGTTTCTGTGGATGCTACAGGAGACGTGTAGATTGACGGTTAGCCTACCATAATCAGTTATTGTCGCATAGGTAATAACCTAAGTTTTAGCTGGACAAACCCGTCGACGGATAGACAATTAGGCCGTTTTAATCTATGAACCTTGTAGCCATGGCAATGCGAAAAACACTGTTCGTTATGAGCTAGGGACAAGGGGACAAGGGTGTTACAGCCTTGTCAGTTATGAGGATGCATTCTCGTGACGGACTACTCGAATTGATACATGACCCGCTCAGTCTGTTCAGTCTCAGTTCCTGCAATCTGTGCTTGAAAACGGGTTCTTGAGCTCAAAACGGCCATTGTTGATTATTCCCACTCTTTTCTCCCAAGAGTTTTTTGACAATTTGTCTGCAAAGACGTCAGAGAATGTTGGATCGAGCCCCTAATCTCTGTTTGTCCTAATATTATCACAATATCATTTATCCGTACAGACACAATACAATCGCTTGTACATGATGTCGCCACATGTAGTTTAAATGTCTGTGTATTGTTAATACTAAGGGACCGACCATTTGATATTCTATTCCCACTTATATTTGTTGTAATATAACAAAATATCGTATATACTCTTGAGGACAGATACATCCGTATCCGTTGATATTGTCAACATATACAAGTACATTATTGACACGTGTCCATACTTACAGTAAGCAGTGCATGTCTCTCCAAACGTTGCCATTGATTCTGTCAAAGGTCGGAGGCCCGTTTGTGAAAATGTGATTGAGGACTTTTGGCGGATACGTTGTGGTAATATCGTGGCACTTTTAGCAATTATCTTGGCTTCTATTTTCTTCTTCAATGAGAGGACTTCAGTAGGACAACACAGTTCAAGACAGCTCTGGATAAAATGAAGCACATGTAGAATCTTCATGTTGAAGTAACTTCAGAAGAGATGCATTTGAGGCCTTCTCTGCTTCTTTGCACTTTTCTAATTCCAGTAATACCTCATTTTCTCTCTGGTCTAAAACACTCCTGAGCTGCCCAAATGTATGTTTTATCTCTTCTTTAAGATCTTGAGCATTACACTCAATATCCAATTCAAGACCATCAACTTTGCCTTCCAAATGTTTGACAAGACTAAGCCTTTCTGAAACATGCTGAATACCTTCCTTGAGAGTGTTCCAAGACATGGCTTGAATGCCATCGTTGTTGTTGGTGCATAAAACCGCCCCAGTGTCGTTTTGGGTGGTTGACAACAACACCTGTTTTGTTGTTACAACATCCTTAGTTTCGCCAACATCATTCCTCTTGAAGTCCTCCTGGCAAATACCACATCGTATAGTATCAGTGTTGTCGGCATCCTGGCATGTCTGACACACTGAATGTAGACAAGGAAGTAGGTATGGATCGGGTCCACCGAACGTGTTGGGAGTTTCACACACTCCACATTGATGCAGTGTCGTATTCCTGGACATAGTTTCTTTTAAGACGTATCTGCAAACAAATGAGTTGATATCCCTTAGGGTCTCCAATTAAAGTAGCAAGCATGACTGATGTCAATGTGGCATCTACTCGCCCTTTGAGGACACATCTTTTTAAGAAACATGCTATTGTCTTGCACATTGAGTAATAACATCACAAGTCGACAGGAGTATGTGGCCAGACCCCCAAACTGCCGACATACCCCTCCCCACAGTAGAACAAAGCAAACTTAAGTTTTCCTTTTTTTTGTATCCAACAGACTAGAAAATGGTGGTCGTGGTCAAATGGTTTGGTGGCAGATACTGTTTTAGGGTCAAAATGCACTTTTCTGTTGTAAAAATAGAGAAAATCAAATAAAGTCCCCCCCCCCCCAAAAAAAAGGTAGTGTTTGCTTTGAATCATTTAAGTGATAGTTTAAACATATTAGACTTGAATTAGTATTATGTTTTTAATATTAGCCTCTCACAAATTGAGTAATTAGTAAAAAGTAGTTTTAGTATAAGTAGTTTTCATTTTCCATTAATTGGAAAAAGAACCGTTATGAATTATCAGTATTATCAACCAAGCCATTTGATATCTCAAAATGAGCCGACACGACTTATGATGAGATGGCAATGTTCATATTCCACATAACTTTTATGATTTTTGAAAAAACATTGGTAATAAGTTATCCCACCCCTATTTTGTCAAAATTGCATATTTCTATTCACATTGTTATTTTCATTTATTATAGATTTATACAACACATACCTATAACCGTTTACAAATACCTTTTTTATATAGGATATTATTAAAGGTTTCCCTAAAATCAAAGATTATGTAAACCGCCGAGGAGGCACATTTGGTCAATGTCACTTTGAAGGTCAAGTTCTAAATTAATACATAAATAGTATTTTAAAAATGCTGCAAATGCACATACAACTATCATCACTGGTTCTGGGTATGCTTGGTAAATCCCTATAGAATATACGAAGAAACCAACAAAAAATGTGCAAAACGAGATCAAAGCAACTGCTTCCCCTCAAAATAGACAAGCAGATGATACTGTGAACTCAATCTCAAGACACATAAAGGTGTAAGGAAAACAGGTCAACTTCTTTATTGTGAGGAAAATAACGTTTCAGAGCATAGACTTACTGCTTCATTAGGTGAATTAATGCTATGAAGCAGAGAATATATATATATTCCTGCAAGAACAACAAAGCCAACAAAGTAATAAGATAAAAAAGGTGGAAAGTTAATTGGCGCTGATAGGTGTTTAGCAATGGTAAAATGGAACAGTTAACAGTCTCCGAGCCAATGGCAGAGGCACCTGCAGCGCACGTCCCATTCCCAGAGGATGTATACACCCGATCTCCTGCAACTGTAGCAACCAATATATTGAAGAAACGCTCAGATCCCTCAAGACCAGACTCAAAGAGCATCAGACCTCTGTCAACAGAGTAGAACTGAAATCCGCTATTTCCGAACACATCATCAAGAACCAAGACCATAACATCATGTTGGAAAGCACCAAAGTTCTGTCTACCGACTACAACTGGCGACAAAGAAAAATACAATAAGAAAATCCATCTGGAGACACCAGCCAGCCATAAACCGTGACTAGGGAACCTATCTGCTCAGTGCTTGGGATTTATTGCTTTGATTATTGTCTGTGCTAATTATCCAGCTGGCTTTCATTTTTCCATTTACAATTCTATTGCTATTACCTATCAGTGCTAATTACCCCCTGTCTCTCGTTTGTCCATTGCCCATTGCCTATTTACATATTATATTAGTTGAGATAATGATAAAGATAAGATCTTATGAAACTTATTTAGATTGTAACTTAACGATATAGTGCTTTGGACCCAAGCTTCAATAGCGTAATTGCAGTGAGCTGAGATAATCGAGACTGGGTATTCTCTGTTATTTATTTGTAAGTGAATCGTGGAAGGCAATTGCACGCTGGTAATTGTGATCTAGAAGAACATTGTGAAACGTGATATTCTTATAATGATGTCTGGTTATAAATTCAAAGAAGACAGCTTTCTCGACATTGCTGACACATGTTGAAATGTTGACGAAGTTGTCAGTTTGGATTGAGCCACCTAGAAATGTCCCTAAACTCGGCACATTGTTTGAAGTGTTTAAAAGTAGAACACTTATTAAATTGCATTCATACAATTGACATCTGCATGTTTTTCTTCACAACTTCAATGTACTTTTTTAGATTTATCTGAAAGGAGGGTTTCTGCAACAAACTGTTTCTGTGCCATCATACAGATCGAGCCAGTGCTATGGACATCAGTTTAAATACAATGTATGTACATTGTGTAATAAAATATTTGCATCTCAAACGATTTCACACTTTTATCTCTCACAGACAATTTTAGCACAAGTCTATAAGAGTGTGCAGGGGAAACCATAATCATGCTACACACTTTCAGTTCCTGCCTTATATGCTGGAAAAGTATACTTATCTAAAACTACAATGTTTGAGATGTACTGTGCAATACTTGGTATAAACTCTATCATTACTGATTCTGATCGGGAACACACTCAAAATAATGAACTCAAACAACGTCACTTCAATCAGTATTTACGCTAACACCAAAGAGTTCGGGATTAATTTTGCAAAGGCAGAATGCAGAAAAGACGAATGTGTTTGTCAGTATGAAAACACATTATTTTTATCTGCTAAATGATGTTGGGTCACACGAGCATACTCTTAGTATTGTTATAGCTTAAAGGTAACTCAAATATATTCGACCTGGGTCCATGTGACCGACATGTCCATTATCCTTCATCAGATAAAGCCAACAACGCCATTGGTCAAAAGTTATATTACTATTTTAGTACATTAACAATTCATACTTTGAAACTGACCTTTCTGAACGAACGAAATATCCTGTGACTTTCTCTAGTATCTGGGAAAAGAAAGACCCCACCATGTTCTTCCTCGTTGGTGAAGGTGAACTCAAGGTGGGAAATAGAAATACTGTAGACTGAACACCTAGTGTCCCTCAGCCTGCAACGCAGTCACTGCATATGGCCAGAATCTAAACACTTGCCCTACATTGGGGCCTCTTATCACCAGGCAGGTAATGATGTGCACAGTGTGTTACACAGCTCAGTGGGGCGTGGGGTGGAAACCGACGTCGAAATCAGTTCTACGCGCATGCCGGTAACCCTTACCTTGTGCAGTGCATTTCTGCCTTTTGTAAACACTTGCCCTACATTTGGGGCCTCTTATCAGCTGGTAAATACAAACAATACCAGGGTTGAAATCGATACAGATAATCTTTTCTATGCACAGCAAGACCCCAGTGAATATATTAGTCGGACATGTAAGGTTGTGACAACGCTTATAGATATTACATGCACGATAATGAGCAAGTGAGAAAGTTTGTGAGTAAGAAAGAAAACGTACAATTTTATAAATAACAACTGCTGGTTTATTGCAGATAGCGCGGTTTCGATGTAGATTCTCAATCATTATCAAGCTTGAGTGACAACAACCAATTGATGAGAGGCATATACTAGCATGATATGTTCAGATAAGCAGAGTGGAGGGGGGCACCAGAAATGGGCTTCACACACCGTACCCATGTCGGGAATCAAGGCAATGAAGCACATGCGCGATGAAGCCAGATGTACAGTAAGGATAAGGATTAAACGGATAAAACAGTTGTTACAAGCTAATTGGATACTAATTATAAAGGATTATTGCTTGATTACAACTTCATAGGCAGACAAGATGTCTGATACCCTTGATCTCTGTGCATTTCTTTAGCTTCCGAAGGTTTTCTTTTGGTGAAATCCAGGTTGAGAGGCCAGTGCTTATTGTACGAAAAACAACATATGTATAACTCATTAAGAATGTTAACATAAAGCACAAACTTTAAAAAATAATAATTCCTGTATATTTTATGAAGGGGGGGGAGTTTAGTATTTCACGGATATTCTTACAATTTCCACGTTGATTATCCGTACCTTTTCTCCCTATACCGATTGACATATCTCTTCTACTTTTGGGAACGATTTCGTTTAGCTACGCTGCCAAGCTACATCTATGGAGAGCAACTCACAGACACTTCCCAATCAGAATAAAGGTTCTTCAATTATGACGTCATCAAGTTGTGTACCCAAATGACACTGAGGAGCCTAAAAGGTAATTTTATAGGTACAAAGATGATAAACTTAGAGAATATTCGTATTATCGCTCATGTAGGTAACGGCCTATAGCCTGAGGTAATTGCCTAACTCTTGTCCCGAGGTGATGACCTCACACCGGCCCTTGCATTCCCAACCTGCTGCAAATGTCACCCGAGTAGTTGGGGGTGGTCTCAAAATATTGCTGTTATTGTACTTTAATAAGTAATGCGTTGAAGTGGATAGCAATTAAGATATGTAATGCATTATATATGATTGAAAAAGTGATGGAATAGTTAAAGCTATGAAACGGGACGAGTATTGGATGGTTGGGGGCTTTTGAATCAAGAAGAATTGGTTGTCCTACAGATGATTTATTTAGCCAACATCTGACTGAACTGAAGACGTATCTGAGTCTGTACTATCACCCAAAGGTATGATACTGGTGAAACAAGGCTGATATCTACGGCGTCACGTTGTCGGTAACAACGTTCTATTTCAAGGACGCGACCTTGGGCCTATTGCAATGCCTCTGATGTGATTCTAGCAAAGTGTAACATAACTCGTTTGTTGCTGCGAATTGACAGAGGTCGCTGCCTAGTGTCAAGAACTGGTCGGGACAACTTGTTGACAAACCGGCTTGGAGTATCATTATATAACCAAGTCTTATTTTTCTGTTCACCTCGCTGTACGGACTGGCCATGGGTCAAAGCAAAAAGGTGACCGGTCAGTCAGTCGACAATTACAATATGTTTACTACATTGTGGCCGTGAAACGATCCTTATGCA